TCGAATATTTCCAGCGAGGAACTTCCGGGTGCGAAGGGTCGAAAGCCGAAGTGATAATAATACTAATTTCCCCGACAATTATTTCCGCAGTTTCTCAAATAAATACGTAATTCTCGTTCGAGCCGGTTTAATTGTTGATTTTAATATATACCAGGTGCATGTGTCCTGCGTTCGAAGTGCACGCCGGTCGTTGATTCGATTAAGCGCCGCGCGCGGGAGCTTTAAAATTAAACACAACACAGTTGACCGGTTAATGGAAGAAAAATTCCGTTCCCAGCTGTCGTCGCGGTGGCGAGCAGCAATCGATTCCGCCATTGATTAAGGGGGGCCGTGTTCGTCACGGCGAAATTACAGACCGAACGAGCAACGGCACAGGGAGAAACGGAGAGACGAGCTGGATCGTTCGTACCTAACCGCGGTATTTCGGAGCCGGTCGAATGGATCGCACGAAGGGGAACGATACAGAGATAAAATTATGTCGGTGGATCGGTGATATCTATTCGATGAATTTGTCCAATCGTACACGTAATATCCTGCAAATGGGTTCCGATAATGATGTTACCCGTATCGCGTCGCATCTATCTTCTGGATTTGTTTTATTAAAAAGGATCGAATTCAATAACAGAATTGGTTGACAGATTGCGTACCGGTAGAAATCTCGTTTTTATATAAAGACACTTAGCTATGCGACCTCGCTAATTACCACGGCATTGAAGAAAATGTTGTAGACGGTTCGCCCTTTTGCGTGTCGATACTTGGGGGCCTGAGAGATAGTGCAGGCCCATTGACTAACTTATGACCAAGGGGACCACCAGGACCTGGGTCACGCACGCCCTCGTCTGAAGAGTTTTCCTTTTTAGAAAAGCAACTGAGGAAAAGCAGTTAGTCGCCGTTCCTCGTTAGAGTTACATCGCGTAATAAATATATTTAACCTGACTACGGACTTAGTTTTTATTTTAGTAGCCCTACAATGTAAAATTTAATTCGAATTGATTATCTATTTAAAATATTGCATTGTTACGCGGCCAAAAATGACAGTAGGGCACACCGTCACTATTGGCTGAGAAACAAAAGAAGCTGATTGGCCACTCGGTAGAGGCTCCTTTTTCCTACATATGCCGACTTTTCCTTGAGCATCAGTTAACATCGGCTCGCGTAAGCAACGATCACCCAGTCTCAACAACAAACGTAGCAACAAGCATCTAAAATCAACCTTTGTGTTGATGATATTGTCCGAGTCACTGTTTTACTTCCACATTTGTACTTTAACCCTTAGCACTCCAGGTTGTTTTGTAATCTATCAGCGACTGCAACTAATTCTTATAGTATCCAAAGCGAAAATGAGAAATTCTATAATGTTTCGATCTTTTATTTTCCTTCTCAGTGGGAAATTTGGATGTGTGGAAAATCGAATAATTTTAGGGTGGTTTCTTTAAGATTGATTAAAATATTTAATATTATAACTGGTGCAATGTCTACTCTCGCGGATGAGTTTTTCTATGTATAGCGACATAAGTTGACCTCAGTGAAACTCGTCATCACAATTCAGTTCCCCGAAAATCAGCCGGTGCGCAGAACTCCCATTCGAAAATTCTACTCATTGTTCGACTTCATAATTCACGACGGTAAGCACTTTCCCGACGATCGGTCCGACGACCGGATTAACGATCGCCAACGCGATAACGATCAATAATCGTTACCGCGATTAATTCACCAGCGAGCGTAGACGCAACGGCGAACTCTATATTCGGCGCGGATCCGCTTATCGCCGGTTCCCTGGGAATTTTCCGAAAGCCAGAGGAAGACGTCGTTTCGATCGGTCGAACGGACTCGCGGGCCATTAGTCACTGTTGCTGGTGGGGCGCGGGGCGGTGTACAGCAAAAACTGATTCAAAATTGTCGAACGATGCAGCGGAGCTCGAATTGTCGATAAGGTCGAAAAGCAGGATGTCAGGACGCGGCGTTTTGAGGGAGATTGATGAGGGCTCGCGGTTAGCGGCGTGTGTACAGAGTTAAATTGCCGCTCGGTGGGGGCAGGTTCCGAGCGGCCGCCGCGCGCCGGGGGTTGAGGTCAGCTCGCTGCACACGCAGCTTTCCTGTCTGGCTGTCGTTAACACCGATTTATTTGTTGCTCCGGCCCGTTCGCCCGCTCTCTTCCCGGGACAAACAACCCGGCGACTGCGAATAACATTCGCCTCCCGCGCTGTTAACCTAATCAGAGACTCTTGGCGTTCCGGAGCGTCGCATTACGATAATGGCCGCGAGCTGTCTATATTTCACCGCGCCCGTTGGATCCGTGCAAGAATTATGGAAAGAACGACGCTCCAGGCAGCGAGATAGCCGGCGTGATTCCGGAAATTTGTATTTTCGCGTGCTTTCGAAACAACACGAGTGCAGGTTTCTAATGAATTTATGTTGCCTAGACCACATTGAGAGACCTAGAAATTCTCTTAGACCGCATACAAGTGTTTCTAAAACTGTACGACTGCAACCGGACGCTTAGCGTCTGAAAGCTTGGACGTAGGAGCTTATGGGATAGATCGGGACGAGTCGCATCGTCTTCTGTTTGGCAATAAAAAAATACTGCTTAAATGTTAATAATCAACAATGAGGGACTCTTAAATTGTCCTTTGGCAAGCAAGAAACGGGAAATCTGGAATATACCGCGATGTAAACATGACCTGGAATCTAATTTCGATGCCTATTTCATTTCCCAACGGAAATTCGAATTTGTCAAAGGAACTGATGCAACCCCTTGCGGGCGAAGATTCTTCGAAACATAGAAAACCTTCAGCAGGTCAATCTAAGCAATTAATATAATTGCTTAACCCTTTGAACTCTGTAGGCTCCAATATTGCACCAGTTATAATATTAAATATTTCAATCAATCTTAAAGAAACCACCGTAAAATTATTCGATTTTCCGCACATCCAAATTTCCCACTGAAAAGGAAAATAAAAGATCGAAATATTATAGAATTTCTCATTTCCGCTGGGAACACTATAAAAATTAGTTGCAGTTGCTGAGTGCAGTTCTTACAGTGATAGGGTTAATAAGGGTGTTGAACTAGTTTGTATGGTTTAACAAAAAAAAATATAATTTCACAATTAACCCTTTGAACTCTGTAGGTTCCACTATTGCACCAGTTATAATATTAAATATTTTAATCAATCTTAAAGAAACCACCCTAAAATTATTCGATTTTCCACGCATCCAAATTTCCCACTGAGAAGGAAAATAAAAGATCGAAGAAGCATAGAATTTCTCATTTTCGCTTTGAATGCTATAAAAATTAGTCGCAGTTGCTGACAGATGACAAAACAACCTGGAGCGCTAAAGGTTAAAACGCAGGCGCATTCCAGGGAGTCTCGCCTAAATGGATTTCGCGGATTCAACGAAAGAGGGAAGAAATCTCGGAAGTATGACGGCTAAGTTCCTCGGCGATCTCGCGCTTCATTGCGCGGCGTTACCATATCTCACGGAAGTTCGCCGCTTTCGCTGCAGTTTCCCGAATAACGTCCGGCTGCGTCGGTCGAGCGGCGTCCCCGATATCGGAGGGCGCCGCGTCGCTCGAATAAAGAAGGGACGCTCCGGCGCGCGCTAAACGGGAGCATCCTTTTTTCCGTTCGGCCCCCGTCGTACCCATCGCTGCAGCGCGATTTTAATCTCACTCTCGGCCTCGGAGGTTGCCGCGTTGCAATTCAAACAAATTCGATGCGATCGAACTCCGGCCGATATCTCGGGATTACTTCGGCTCTCCGCTCCTTCTCCGGCTGCCGGGCCGGGGGAAAAATTGTTCCCAGCGTCGGGAATCTCGTTAGGAAAGTTGAAGGAACGCGCGCGCCGCACGAAGCGAGAGGATCCACGGTTACGAGCCACGGGATCGGGCCTGCACGGAGGGGCCGATGGTTATTCTTAAACATTAATCCCACCGGTGAGCCGCGTTACTATTAAGGGCCTCGTTTAATACCGACTTCTAATAAAGGAACGCTTTACGATAAACCTAAATCCCGGCCGCGCTGTAACCCTCCGGGCACGATCGGTCCGACCATCTATATCGTCTGTTAAATTAGTTCCCGGAATTAATTTCGCCCGATCTTAATCCGTTGCTCGCTCGGTCAGCGGACCGACTCTGTCCGCGTTAAAATGCCAAACCGATGGAAAAACATTTGCTTTCGATATCGGCCGTGGACACTCCGTCGGCGAGTTACGTCTGCCGTGTGGTTCTTCCGTGAATTAACAATATAACTGGACGTTTTTGTTTGCACAGTCCTGACTCCCCAAGCTTCGGTCGCTTTAACTTCTTAACTAATCGGTGGATTCGCCACTGATTTTCGAGTGCTTCGAGGGTTCATTGCTTTTTTATCTGTTTATCAAGCTTTACGAGATACTTGTATTCGAGGCGTTACTAAGATTAACCCTTTGCACTCGGAAGTTTTCCGTTAGAAATATTTTAACGTCTTCTGACGAGATAGAGAGGATATTTTGTGAGCTAACTCCACGAGAAATCACACATTGAGGGACAGAGCTGTTTTGTTTGAATATTTCTCAAATTGATGCGTTGTACGACGTTTAGTATTAAGTATCAAATTTTATAGTTTTACTGTATGAAATCAATTGAGTGCAAAAGGTTAATATCGCGTTAATATTGAATGTTTCCAACGGTTTTCCTAACTCGTTTTAACCAATTAAGTGTGGAATTTAGTTTGAAAGATCTCTCATCTCGCAATAAAATCAAATGATGAGTACTCGTTAAATGCAGGTCAAATGCACTTGAAGTATATCCAAACGAAACACTAAAGCGAAACGAAGAATTACACGTTTGTCTCAAAGAATGAATAATCCATCGTTGAAAAAGTTAGCACCATTAAGAGTTTTAAGATGACGTGTATCCTCAACACAGTTAACTGCTTAAAGATCTTCGCGTTGATACCATGATCGACAACGCGTTCCGATATTCTAGCGATTAGATCGTAACGAATAAAAGTATGGGTACTCACATCTGACGTCGAACCTCACTTCCGTGCTGGAGGACATGGTCGGGTTGGCGTACGCCGGATGAATGGCGACGCACCTAATCGGCTGGCCGTAACGCGACCGCTCCGCCATAATCTCGCAGACGCTGTAGGTGGCCCAAGTGCGGGGATTATCTATCTCCGTCGAGTTTACCTGAGGCCTCGGGTTCCTCACTTCGGTCTCGCCCACGTACCTGCGCGCATTTCCCCCGAAAATTTGCATTTCCAATGGCCGTTCTGTAACAACTCTGCGCGGAGTGAAATCCCACGGACGCCGGCGACCCCTCGGCGCCCTCTCCTTCTCGCCTAGACCTTCTTCGACTTGTCTCGCTCCCCTTGTCTAAACTATCGTCACCCTTCGATCCCTGCTTCCCTCCCTCTCCCTCTCTCTCTCTCTCTCTCTCTCTCTTTTGCTCTCCGCCGTTTCATCTTCGTCTCAGTGTTCCTGTTTTCCTTGCTCCTTCGTCGCGAAACCAAAGACCAAAGATTGGAGCGGGTAATCGTTCCGAGGGTTTGCCTCTCCACTCAAGAATCCCGGAGTGTCTTCAATTCGAAAGCGGCGGAGATTTCGTCGCCTCGCGCGGATACGAGTCGCGAGGGAATCACGATTTTCTAATCCGAGCTCGAGCGACGCTCCGAGGTCCCCGGGTACGGAAGCCCGCCGCGGCCCCATAACTTTCGCCCCGACACGATGTAACGGTGCCGATACGTTTCCATTGCACCGCGACATCCACATACTTCCCGATTATTTACCATGCAGATAACGCCGAGCTCCGAGCACGAATTATCGCGATAAATAACGACGCGCGTTCGAACGATCCGTAAGGTACGTCCCGCAGCGCTTTCCGTGGACGTTTGAGGATTTTGGAAGCAGTTCGCTGTTTAACCCTTTGCACTCCAAAGGTGCCTCTCAGTCAGGTTGGTGCATCAAAATTGTATTTAACATTAACACGTTAAGCGCCACGAAAAACTTAAGCGTTCTCCCATAGAGTTTGTCTTTTGTAGCAAAGAAAAGTAGGAGTACTTATGAATTGTTTGCAACGTTTGCGTTACACTATTATCAACTTAGTTGCTTTATTAAACATTTTCATTTCACATCGGTTGTCTTGTATGTTACGATTGTTTTTTAGTCGTTCGGAAGCGTCAGTCACCAGTGGCTGACATGGCGCTTAACGTGTTAATTGTTGAGTGATCTGTCGGTACGTGAAATGTGGAAATAAAGTACCATTGTTCCCCTTATTTTGTGAATCGACTCCTCGTTAAGTTAGTTTAACACGTTGAATGCCATGGGGGTCACCGGTGACCCCCGCCCAAATTCAGTTGATTCTCTCAATTAAACGACGATTATATGAAAACGTTCCTATATTGTTAATAACGCTACCTAATGTGGGGACATTCAGTTTGATGAACGTGCAATGATAATAATCCAATTCAGTCAAATGATTTAATATCGTATTTTTTCCATTTTGTGTATTTAGCTCTATGAAATCGTGCGGCGTTCAAAGTGTTAAAAAAATGTTACCTGTATCTCATAAAAATAAATTGAATATTTCTAGTATCACATTTTTGGAGTGCAAAGGGTTAACCCCTTGGCGTACTGTTTACTTTCGCCACTATGCTCGTGTAGCATTTTACTATCGACAATTTGGAAGAAATGCAAAATTGTCCATTCAAGTGGAAATTCTATTTGAAGATAATACAATGATAGCAAAATAGTTTGCTTTGATCCGTGGGTAATGAATAACATCGATTGTTAAATTCGTCTAGAACTTAGTTAACACTTTGCACTCGAGAGGTGACTCTCAGTCATCACTTGATTTAATTTGCAAAATTATGAAGTCTTACATACAATATTAACCTTTGCATGATGCATCAATATGAGGAATATTGAAATAAAATAACTTTCCTCCTTAATTTACACATATTTTCTCGTTAATTAGCCCCAAAGAACATCGTCCGTATCTCATCGGAGAACATCGAATACTTCCAGCGAAAAACTTTCGGGAGCAAAGGGTTAAAGTTGCTGGCGAACCGGCGTATCAGTCCGACCGAGAACGCATAAACAAAGTTCGAAGTAAACACCGGAAACAAATGAACGCTTTCACGTCCGGGATAAGAAAAATTCATCAGATTCTCGAAGCGGTTGAACGAAATGCTCAAGGAGCATTCAACCGACGATCGTTTACGCGCATCCGGAAGCAGGCAGCGCCAATTAAGCTGATTTCCGACGAGACACGGCGAGCTGCTGAGGAAGAGCGAGAGAGAGGAGGCGCGCGGATCCGCGCGGAAACGAATATTTCCGCATTCGCGGGCCGCTCCGGCACGTGCCGCCGCTCGAACTTTCGCCGAGCGTCAAAGTTTCCCGGGCCGATCCGAGGTCGCTCGTTTTCCATTCGCCTATAAATTAATTAACGTTCTCTCGCGTAGCTTATCATCCCGGGCCGAACCGTTATCCCGCCGTTTCGTTCCGTCGCCGAGCTTTCTGTTATTTCTGCGCCCCCCTCCCGGGGGCGCGAGAGCAAACCCTGCAGCTCCTTAACTTCGTCTGGATACCCGGCCCGGAATGGATCATGATTATTCATGGCCAGCCGGGGACAGAACGATAGACGGGCCGGAGGAAGAGAGAGACGCGAGCTCTCGTCCGCCGCTACCATCGGCAAGATCCACAAGCTGCATTACGGACGGAGGATGTTCGCGCAGGGAAAACTAACCCGGCGCGTCTCGAACGAGCGAACAAGGGGGTGAGCAGTGATGGGTTATCAGGACTTCGAATCGTTTCGAACGTTTATACGTGTATGGAGCATCCTGCGGAGTGAAGTGCAGTCTTTAACCCCTTGGCCTACTATTTACTTTCGCCAGTGAGCTGATGTACCGTCTTACTATTCTAGTACCTAGAATACTTAGCGTAGGTTAAAGTATTCCCGTGGACAATCGCGTCGATCCTCGTCATCGATATATACCGTCGCTCCGGGGCGAACTTCTCAATTCGCGCGGAAAAGTCCCAGTCGGCTAATCCCCCTAATCAATATACGCGATCAGTCACACCCGCGATTGCGGCCTCTCACCCCCGACACTTGAAAATCGCGTCTAGAACACTGAGATTTCGAGGAGTCGCCCTGGGACCTGCTTCCAGAGATTTCGCACGGATTTTCGCGAGACTCGAATCGGTTAACCCTCTGCCCTATGATTTGTTTCTCAGCTGTGGCAAGCCTACTTCCTATTAACCCTTTGAAAAGGCAAACAATAACATTTTAATCATGCCTTTTATTCTCATCTTTATTCTCTACCCTGACTGAGAGTCGCATCGTGGTATGATTCGTTATAAAAATACATGACACAATTATTTATCATTTCATATTGCACTTCCAAAAGTTTTTTTGGGCTCCTAAAACTTAGGCTCCATAAACAAAAGCAATAAAATGTTAATCATTCTTTTTATTCTCATAAGTGACTGAGAGTCGCATCGTGTTATGATTCGTTATAAAAGCATGTGGTGCGATTAGGGTTAAAAAGCAATCAATGCTGTTCATCATCCACGGATCAAAGCAAACAACTATCTTGCTAAACAATTTATTATCTTCAAATGAAATTTCCTGACAAAGAATGGACGATTTTGCTACGTTTCTTTCGAATTGTCGATCTTACTAGCGAAAGTAAATAGTACGCCAAGGGGTTAACGTAGTTTATCGTAGAAACTCGAGGCTACTTGACGATAGGTTCACGGAACGCGTCAATTATCCATATTCAGAAGATGAATCTGATAAACATTACTTGGTTCACATTGATTCTCAGTCTCGATTGTCTATTTCGAAACTAATATCAATAATTTAACTCTACGAACATCGATTCTAGAAACGATAGATTAAATTCTACCATAAATCTCCGTAAACCTACCGTCGAAGAACAGCGCGCAAGAAGAGTGTTTTCTATTCGAACTCTCGAACATCTCCACGAAAAGTTCCGTTCGCTGTAGCCAGAATCTCCATGCCTCCGAGAGCTTCGGAAAAATTGAATTGAATTGTTTCGAAACTGGGATTCGAGCGGCCCTCGCCGGGGCAGGGTGCGCTAGTATTAGCGGAGCTGCAGCGATGGGGTCAGAGATATCGGCATCCTTTCGATATAATAGCTGGAAACCGGCGCGCGGCGATGCTGTCTGTTCCTTCCCCTCTCTCTCTCTCTCTCACTGTTTCTCTCGGTTTCCTCTCCCGTTCCTCTTCGCCGTTCGTTAAAGCCGCAGTTACGATTCATAAAGTCGTCGGTTCCCGGGGCCGGCAATCGGCGAGCAACGGTGCGGCCAGGGAATTCAATTTAAAACGTGGATTCAATCCCTTTTCCCGCGTTTCCCGTGTACCTGGGGGTTCGAGACAGCGCGGCGAGGCGGGTCTCGTATTTGGCCGGCGCTCGTTCGATTCTCGGGTAGACCGGCATGAACCGGCGAGTAATTACAGCCGGTAATCGTTCGATTATCGGGAAAACCCGTCCTTCCTGCCGGCAGGCGCGAAAGACACGGCGGCTGGAATTAAGTCGTCCGAAGTCCGTGAAACGAAATCAAGTCGGAACTGACGCGAGCTAATCGAATGAATCCCTGAAAAAGAGCGGCGAGTTACCGCCGCGGACACCGAGCGGCCGGGGAGGATCGCCGAGAGGCGGCGGGAGGAACGGGGGCGGGCGGGCCGCGCAATCTAGACGCATTGAAACGGTTCTCCTCGAAAACCAACGACGTTATTGCTTCGCTAAGCGCGGAGTTGATGGTAAAAAGACGGATATTCTTCGGGGCCGGAAGAAGTTGAAGGTTTCCCCGGTTCCGCTTCACTGGACCGAACCCCGCCGCCCTTAATCAACTGCTCGTTCCGCGTAAGAAACATTTACTTATCCGCAGTCGAGGGATACTCTCGAAAGCTTGCGTTAGGCCGACGTTCTGTCAATAGAACGGGAAAGACATACAAACGGAGATTGATGTAGAGAGAGAGAGGGAAAGAGAGAGAGAGAGAGAGGTCGATGGATCTATTCCAGTACCGCCGGTACATGCGCACTAATTCCATCAGCTGTGCTCGGTAGACCGATGGCCTAGTAAGCAAGCAAACCGATGCAAGATACTCCGGTGCCCTTTGTTACGCGTTAATACGATTTTTGTTCCATCCGCCGTCTCTTTGTACCGGCGTTTCTATAATTTCGAGGATCGTCGTTCCTCCGGTTTAGTATTATTTAATCTCTGCCGAGCGGAGTGTCTTTAGAGAAATAAATTGTGACCGTCGTTACTCCGGAATTTGGGTTACCAGAGGAAATCGGTTCCGGCGACGGTGCCGAGGGAGTTCGACGGAGTCGATCGAGCGATCCCCGTTCCGTCCGAGCGGATCCGAGGGGGTCGCGGAAAAAGGTCACGGCGAGAGAGGGGTCGGCGGCGGAAACGGTTAAGTAGTACGGAGAACCAACGGTGCAACGATTACGAACCATTTAATTAGAGGCGAAGGATTCCCATACCGCGCTCTGCAAGTGAGCGTGGCGGTCTCACCTGCTCGAGCTGTCACGTTGTTGCCGGGCAGAATCAGACGATCCGCGTACTCTATCTGCGGTCGCTGAGGGCTGACTGGAACGAGAAAATTAGCGGGGGTTAATTTCAACGATCCCGGCAGGCGGGCTCGTTCGGTCGTGCGGTGATCGGTCGGCCGCGTTCGAACGAGTCGATCGCGCGGATGCGTTCCGCGACGCGGCTTCGACGCCGGCAGCGAAAACAGAGAGCGCGCGCGAACGATTATACGCGGCGGTGGGGGAGAAGGATAAAAAAAGCAGTGGAAATCAGTTTTCCCGGTGTCCCGACGCGACGCGACGCGACGCGACGCAGAGCTGGGACGCGGAAGAATAAAAGTAAATGGTTTCGTCGATAAACGGTCAACTTTATCGGCGCCGCGCAACAGATTTTTCCGCCGGGTGAAAAAGTTGTTGCAACGAATAATGTTATTTCCGATTGTGCCCGATTTTTCGCCGCTTTTCGCTTTCGGCTCCGGCCGTGTACCGCCGTCCGGTTTTACAACCGACCGTACACGCGGATGCGTGCACTGGTTGCCGCGTCCATTGGCGGCCGGTTCGGCGGGGCATTAATCTCGGTACAATGGGAATAACACGCGACGAAAAGCAACGAGCGCGGCTTTTGTTGATCACGGCAATTTCTCTCTGACGAGCTGTACGCGCGGATGTTCGGCTCGCGGATCAAAATTGAAACCGATGTCTTTTTCACCGAGCGCGCGCTCGATCGGCGCGTCGCTCGTCGCGGGGCCGTTTCTTTCGGCCAAGCCGCGTCCTAATTGGACGTTGTCTGAGGACGAAATTGTCGCTTAGTGGTTCGAGATCGGTTCGCGCGCGATTAATCGATGCAACGACGAAATGAATCACGCGCGACGCGGAACGAACCGGTTTCAATTCGACGCGGAGCGATTGATCGGTACGGTTTTATCGCGCCGTCGATCCGGATACTCGAATAGAATTTTACTTCGTTTCTAGTTACACCGGCCGACGGTTAGTTTTCAAACGCGACGTTCGATCGGGATAACGCTCACCTCTGACGACCAGCCTCCCCGGCTCGGACGTCAACGCATCCTGCGTGGTGAAGTCACTGGCTGTGACCTGGCACTGCCACAAGCCGTCGTCGAACTCCAGGGTGGCGGACCTGACCCACAGCGAGCAGTCGCCGATGTCCGGCGAGCCCACCCATTCGTACTTCTTCAAGTGCATGCCGATCGGCTGAAACAATTCGGCTCCAGTGAGTTCTGGCGAACGCGCGTCGTTCGTCGATCGATTAGGACTAGCCCTTTAACCCTTTCGCGACGGGTGCCGTGTATATACGGCAGTCATTTATTACTTTACAGCGGCTGACGCCGTCTAGACACGGCAGTCACTGATTGGTTTTTTAATATTATTATTTTATTTCAATAGCGAACTCAAAATAAAGCTATCAACACATTGGCGGCGAAGTACGGTTCACTTGCGCTTTCGCGAACGACGACGAACAATTGCAGTAATGTTCTGTAATTAAAATTTTCTACAAAACACTATAGAACAATGTAATACAGAGGTAATAAATATTAGCTTTGAATTCATCAGTGATAAATTACTATATTCGTTGACACTGTTAACAGAAGTAACAAAATTTATTTTCTAGAAGTAATGTGAAGTGTATCTCATAGAAAGTTATATATACATTCTTGATTCTAGTAATTTTTCAGTAACAATGAATATAATGGTGCTCAAAAAATAATATATATCTTCAGATTTAACCTTCACATTCTAAAATTGCAAGTTTCACACTTTATAACTTTCTTGCACTGAGATTAAATACGTTTTACTCTAATGGTAACTGCAATCTACAATTAATAATCATACATCTTAATCAGATTCTTCGCGCCGTCGCGAAAAGTGGCAAAGTATGGTCAGTCGCGCTGTTGCTTGAAGTAGCGAGGAACGGTACAGGTGCGCCGTCGCGAAAGGGTTAACCAACTTCGAACCGTCCCGACCCGCCGCTTCACGTCCGCGGGTTTTACGCTCGTGTTTGCGTCCAGCCGTGATCGAGCTGCAGGTACTTTATTTCTATTAGAAGAGAAAAGGTATCGGTCGATCGGACGCCTCGCTTCCAGACGCGAGGCTTCCAATTGAACCAAGGTGGATCACGATTCCGAATCTTCGTCGGTTAACCCTGGAATTCAGTTTCGAAAGTCCCCCGTAAGATACGCAATAAAACGGAAGAGAGTCGCGTGTTTATTCGAACGAATAAATAATAGATCGTCGGGGGAGTTAATAGAATTTTATGCATCGAGACGAGCACGCCCGTCGGGCACGGTGAGCCGGTTGAAATTCATACGAGCGTCCCGCTCTATCGGCCGGGTAACGTCGTCGTTACGTTCCTGCAACGATCACCGGCAACGAGACACTTAAATAAGCAACGACAGGCGGAGAGGATCGGGCGCAATCGAATCGCGCGAATCGAGGCCGGAGTGGCTCGAATGGATTCGGCGGGCCAACGACCGGCGTATGTCAGCGTTTCGAGCGATCGCTTAATCGGCGAACGCGCTTCGCCCGTCTCCGACGGGCCTTCCGTCGGCGGACCGAGCGCAGCCGCGCTTCCTCCGAAATGAATCATCGGCTTCCCCGGCTCCGAGGCTCTTCCCTTCTTTCTCGTAGATTAATTCGCTGCCGGCAGGAAAGTGCGGCCTTAGCAAGTTTCGCAGTCATAATGTGGCCGTAATTCAAGGATCGATTCTCTCACGGTGCCCATATAATCTGCTCGCCGACTCCCCTCTCGGTCGTTCCTCTCCTCCACCTGTTTCGCAGAGCCGTTTTCACCTCCTGCCGGCGGGCTGACGGGTTATCGGGGCCGCCATTGTAATACTTCTTGTACATTATCCCGCGCGAAACTGGATCACGTCGCTGGAACTCAGTTTCCACCCTCCCACGCGCGAGCGAGCGTTCCCGCCGGTCGGCCCCGGAAAAATTTGGTCGTCCGTCATTTAAAGCCATTAGCCGGCTAACGAGCTCGCGTAATCCCCGGCCGACTGGCCCGACCATGGGAAATCCTTCTTGAGTTAGGTCCAACCTTTCACCGGGAATCCCAGTTTTTTCGGTCACGCCCCCTGGATCTGGTTAACGGATCCCCGCTCGAATCTCCCGGCCGGTTTCTGATCAATGTTCGACGATAATCCGATCGAATTATCGTTCGTCCCGACGGTTCGCCGTGGATCGCGGGATATACAGTTCTCTTCCCGTGAACCGGGGTCCTCGTCGATTTCAATTAGGAGTCTCGCGTGACCCCGGTTACACGACGGACTCTCGAGGAACGAGATTTTTGTCGGCGCATCCGAATTGCATCCGACTGTATTAGTAATGAACGCGACACAGTTCCCGCGGGAGCGTGTACAGTTTATCATTCAGCGGCAGACACAATAATACAATGGGAAATCCTCGCGATGATTATTTGCGCGAAGCGCGGATGAAAGCAGAGAGGGCGAGGGGGCGCGCGCCGCGGCACGACTGTGCACCCTCAGGACAAGAAGAATAATGAGTTGCCAGCGCGTCGACGTTCTCCGTCGCTAGACGAACCGACGCGCACGCAATTACACGGATATTAGCGTCTTACGCGTCTCCCCTGCCTCTGTCGTCCCCTTTGAATTTTTCAGCTCCGCATTTCATCCGGGGATAAGAAGATTCCGTTCGCTCGACGGATAAACTCGCGAAACACTCCGGCACGAACGGAGAATCATCGGAACTCCCGGTAAAACGTGAACCTCTCGTCGAAACACAGCCGAATCTTCGGCGAAAGATCTTCGGCAAAAGTAACAAACTGCTGTTTAAAAGCAGCCGCGTTACTTCCAGCAGGTGAAATCCCATCGAATCGTATTTACCGCTCCGAAACTTAATCAATGAT